CCTTACACCAGTTGGGCAACTATAATGAATAGTAATATAGGAGGAATCCAAGTCATCCGATCTTCATCATATCACCATATGAATTTTTATTATTATATTTATCTTTTTTATTGGTAATATTCTAGGTAATCATTGGACTTTAAAATTTGGGGAAATCAATATAATTTTTTTATATTTTTTAAGAGTAATGATACTACGAGATCCTCCTACACACATGTGAGTAGGACTCCAGAAGATCATCATTAAATTTTGACACAAATCTCTAAAAAAGTTATCAATAAACCCATTCACCTAAGTCCCACACCTATGTGATAACTTTTCTAAAGATTTGTGTTAAAATTTAATGGTGTGATCCTTTGGAGTCATACTCACATGAATGTGGGAGGGTTTTATAGTGTCATTACTCATTTTTTAAATAAAAAAAATCCTACAATTTTATACTTTACATCCAATCCATCTTTTTATCATATTTTTGCCCAAATTGCCCCCAATGTAGCACTTGTAGTGGTGCACCTAATTATTCTTCTTGTGATAAAACGGGTTCGGCACTTCAACTGCAAAACCTACTATTTTGGAAAAAAAAGATGGACTCGGTAAATGAAGTACCAAACTGCCAAAAGAATTTGTCTCTGTGGATTCCTTATTTCAATTGTGGAACCCATATGTTTTCAGTTAAGAAGTGCTTAACGAAATGTCATTAAAAATTGTATTGTCTTATGGGTTTGATCAATAGGACCAATGTTTTAGTTGAAGGGACCATAATCCCTAAAATTGGAGGATCATTTAAACACAGGTGGTCCAACCGACCACAACCAAAACATTTTTTTTTGTGAGTTTGGGTTCACTCGTTGAAGTGCCAATACTGGCGAACTCCGCAATCACACTATACAATGTACTACTTTTAATGTGAAAGAATATTTCAAAGTATTAAATATATTTATGGGTTTGGCATTTGACGTGCTAGGCGTATTTCGACACGTATCCAGCGAGTGCCAAACCAATGAAAACCTAAAAGAAAAACTAATGGGAGACCGGGACTTTTGGTATACAATAAGAAATTTATGGCCAAATTTTTAATTTAAAAAATAAAAAATATTTTTACATAAATTTCCTAAAAATGTATGATTAATGTAATTCTTATTATGAAATAACTTTCTATTAAAATCAAGATTAATATTATTCTTATTATGAAATAACTTTCTATTAAAATATGTAAATATCAAACTATTACATAATTAAAAAACATGAATATGTTATATATTTTACAAATGTTAAAGTTGACGATAACCTCAAGTGTATATCAAAATTAAATATAAAAAACACTATCCAACATTATACTTTAGTTTACAATGTAATTGTTCTATCTTTTCAAATTGCCCCATGTTCGAGGTATTGACATTCTTTTTCTTAATATGTAAATAAATTTGGAATTTATTTACACATTTCAAAAATACAAATTAATATTATCCAAGTTTCTTATCGCGATAATAACGGGAAGCCTTCAACTATCGCAATATTTTAATTTTAATTATTCTTGGCATTACAATTTATGGTGATTATATAAAGGAAAAATATCATTAAAATGATTAAACCCCCTCTAGAAAAGGGAAAAGTATGTCGTCCACAACATGTGGATGGGTGGAACGGTGTACAAGAATTGAAATTCCATATGGCCATATCCAACGACCGAAAACTAGTCTCATATTTTATTTTTTATTTAAATAAAAAACTTATCTAAATTTTGGAGTGTATGTAAATTTCAACAAACATAATTAAATAAAAATAATTAAAAAATATTTTAAATAAAAATGACTAAAGTACCAGTAAATTTAATCTAATCAATATTTTTATTCAAAATAGTTTTTTATTTTTATTCAATCTTACTTATAAAAATAAACCTAAAACCAAAATTTTGAATTAATATTATTTTTAAATAAAAATTAAATTAAAAATAAAAAGAGATTTACTATCGGCCATTAGATGAGCATGCTTCAATGTGAACTATTAAAAAGGTGCATGTGTAGCTCTGGACACAATATCAACCCCAAGAAAAGAATGAGGTGGCTAGGCCGACAATGTTACTTCTGTAGAATTCATTTCATTTAAGTACCTCTTCAAGAATTATGTTAAAAGAATACCGAAGCTTTCTTTATCCAGTTTGTAACTTTGGAAAAATAAGGCTATTTTGATATTATGGCCCAATTATGCAATTTGTGTTTAATGATCTAAATACTGATGTTCATTCCAAATTCAAAACCAGAATATGCTTTTTAATTGATACACGTCATTTGGAGTTTAGAACGATGAACAAATTGAGGCATTTTGATAATTTGACCCACTAAAGTTACCGAGCTAAAAAAAAACATATGCATCTTTATTGTTCATAAGTTCCAAACCCAAAAAAAATGTTTTTGAATTAGAATTGAAAGAAGAAAAAATCTATAGGTCATTTATCTAGAGTGGCTAAATCACCAAAATGCCTCATGTGCATAGGATTCCAGCCCAAGAACAACGACAGTTTGAACATTTTCAACAAAATAATTTTTTAAAAAAGCTATTGAAATAATTTCTGAAAGTTAAATTAGTTTTATTTAACGACCCCATTCATATTTGGAAAAAGGCTTTTGAAAACTGAAACCTTACTTGCATAAATAAGGTTACAACAATCTATGCTATCCATTTATTTGGGGGATTGTTTACAAATAGATAATTTATCTTTTGCATATGGAGGTCACGAATCATTCTTATACCTTAAATTTTAAAATAAGTGGTTGTAAGAGTGCATCGGGTAAAAATCTACCTAGAATTAATTTTAGGATCCCTAATTTTGGAGATGTATCCTCTTCAACCTATAGATGAACATCATTAATTTTTTTTTCTAATTGTACCCTCTAGGCACTTGAAAAAACAATGTCTCGAGATTGAATAGAGACCATCCAACTTTTAGATTGTGAGATCTAATTGTTAAAAAACCCAAATTTCAAGTTTTATTTTGAGAATACTTGTCTAATAATTCTTAAGTGGTTCCAAAAAATTTTAGATTGAAACAATCCTCCCAAGTAGGTCTTTTGAGAATGGGATGAGGCCTTCACGGTAGTACCATTAAACTATATGATAAAGTCTTGAACTCTATTCTTACTAAAAGGTAGGGGCTCATATCCCCATTAACTAACCATTTTCTATGAATCGGGCTTGGGTTTGAGTAGTTAGTAATTAACATCAAACAACACGACATCTCAAGTTTGATTCTTCTCCTGAGGAAGCATAGTATGGGTGCTCGCAACTTTACATATTGCCTTAAAAGACAAATAAAAATCTTCATTGTCCAATTAAAATACATGGTGTAGAACTTTGCAACTTTATTTTTATAAGTAAAAAGTTTATATATAATGTAGAATTAAGGTGCATCTCAAAAATCTATAGGAAAATGTTGTTTTGATGTTAGAAAATCCTTTAATGGATCGTCACAACATCGAGATATATGAATATGAAAAAAAAATAACAAACAAAGATTTCAATTCACAAAAATATTGCAACTTGAAAATTTTATCTGGACCGTCCATTTAAAAATTTTCATGTGTTTATGGATCTACTTGATTGGAAATATTTTTAGTATTTGAAATTTTATAATAAGAAATGAAAATAGATTCTTAGGCAATCTTAAGAATATTTTACACTTATAATAAATTTTGGATGTGCATCTTATTTTGATTGTTTAAGGTTGCAAGCTTATATAAATGTTTTACTTTTTATAAAAAAGATTACATCTTGTACGGAGTAAAAACTGCACTCTTCATATTTTTAGGTGGTTTGAATAACTTATTAGTATATTTCATGAAATGGAAATAAATTAAATTGATTTATTAGAAATTATTACGATTAAAAGGATGAAGGGTGCGGTTTGTATACTAAACAATCAAAATAAAGTACACTTTCAAATAGTATAAAAAAATATGGTTTTAATGTTGGAAATCTTTGTAATAGCTTAAAAATAAATTTTCATATATGATTATAAATTTTAAGGTTTAAAAAATAATGTCGATCAAACATATCTATAAAAGTTAAAAAATTTTAAAAATGATTATCTAAAAATATATTATAAAATACATTATTTTCAAGATTTAAAATTAATTTTTTTTTTCTAATGTGCCTGCATCTAGAGGTCTGGATGGTCAATCTGAGAGTATAAAAAAACAACCTCTTTTAGTAGGTACCCAAAACTATTAAGGTGAGAGAGAGAGAGCCTTAGAGAGAGAGAGAGAGAGTTGGGGAGAGATAATGGAATTTTGCAGGCAGAGATAAAGGGCACGACTACTTTATCAGTCAAAAATAACCAAAGTGCCCTTGACTCGCCGCAGGCCTTCTGCAAGAATTTGCGACTTCCCCCGTATTCACAGAAGAAGTAGAAGAAGAAAAAAAGGGGGAGAGAGAGAAAAGAGAGAAAAGGAGGTGGAGCAACTGGTTGTAGTTTCTAGAGAGAGAGAGGAGAGAAAAAGGAGGTTGAGCTACTGTTTGGACTTTCTCTCACAAGATGAACAACGGGCCATCTGGGTTCCGTATGTATTCTAGTCCCCTCGAAAAACCCATCACCTAGATCTCTCATTTTCCTTTGAAATCTAGGTTTTCGGGTTCCTTTTTCAATTGTTCTTATTTGGTTATCAAATTTATGAAATTGGTTTTTTTTTTAAAAAAAACTTTTTTGCAGACAATGCTCCTGTTACCAGAACATTCGTTATCGCATGCACTATCCTTACGATTTTTATTGGGATGCAAGGTCGTTCTTCATCGTTGGGTCTTGCAAACCAGGTAGGTGCTGTGTTCATTTTTATGCAATTTTTTTTAAATTTTCTTGAATTTTTTTATTTTTTTATGGAATTTGTGGTTTTCTATATTTTCATATCTGGGAATAAATCATGAAATTCATGCCAGATGTAATTGTCTAAACAAATTTACTGTAAATTTTTTGTGCTTGGTACTTTTTCCTTTTTTGAAAATTATGTGCTTGATGCATTGCAAATATGTCAAACTTCTTAAGTGGGAATTTAGAACCCTTTAATGATCTGGGTTTTATTGTAATGCGATTATGGAATCTTATGATGGTTAACTGGGAGAAATTTTCATTCTTGTGCTGTTTTGGAGCCATTTTGTGAGATCATGGTTCTCTACTTCCCTAAAGGAAAATTTGGGACTGGTCTGTGCTTCCCCTTGATGGTTTCTTTTCTTATTCTTTTTAATGATTATTTTCATTATTATTTAACTAATGGAGTGATAGCTATATTATACACAGTTCTTGAAACTTAATATTGAAATTTTAGTTCACGCGAATTTGTTTGGGCTTTTGACGTACTTTGTGTTTACATACGTTCTGTTTAACTAAAAATGCAGCACTAGATAAACGGTTCAATTGTTTAAACTGTTCTTTTTGTTTCACTCTATATTGAGCCCTTACAGAGATGCGCATGATGGGTCAATTTATAATAAAATACTCTCTTTCTTTAAAATGCTCTGCTTATTTCTTTATAGCTTCATCATTCTAGCTCTAGTCAACCTTGGCAACATTGTTCTCAATTTGTTGTAGAAAGATAATAAATTTCATGGCAACTGCCCAAAAGATAATATAGTTCACGGCATTCTATTTTTTTTATTTTAATTATCACAGTATCACCTATACTTCCCGGGTGCATCAACCTTGCTTGAGGTGTTTTTCTGTTTTCCTACATTTCTTTGATGGAGTTCTAATAGGCTGAATTTCCGTATGGCAGGACATTTTTAAAAAGCTTCGGTTATGGAGGTTAATTTCGTCTATATTTGCATTTTCATCTACTCCAGAGTTGATGTTTGGAATATACCTGCTATATTACTTCCGGGTGTTTGAGAGACAAATAGGCTCAAACAAATACTCAGTAAGTGTTGATCCCTCCCAACGTTGTGATTTAATGAACTAGAAACCCTGCTTAGAAGGAAGAGGGAATCTTCTTGAGCTCATTATGTCGATGATAGTTTGTGGTTATGATGTGATATCTTTTCTTGATTCCACAAAGAGATACTGGGTGTAGGTGCTATATGTTAAAGTTTATTGTAAATGACTTGACATGTTTAAAATAGAACAGTTGACTAGCGAATAATCTGTTTTGGTCGTAGTTTTTTGAGCAAGATACATTATGTCACATTGTGATTCTCTTTTTCTTCTTCAGCGATCGTTTAGTAAATTTTTCTTTAATGGTATATTTCAATCTGTCAAAAGAAAATGAGGTATGAGAAGACTGCCACCTTTCAAGAATGTTGGCGAAACCTTAGAAGCTGACTGTATTAACTCCATGTGGTAGAATAAGTCAAAGGAACCACCTGAACCTGGCAGGATTCTTAAACTAGCCGATCCATCATCAATCTCTCAGTGATAGACTCTTAAAGCACTCAACCGCCGAAAACACTCCTTTTGTGTCACCAAATCTTCTTTGCAAAATATCAATTATTCTCTATCATTAGTATTGAAAACACTCATCACCTAATGATGTGCCATACCCTACCATCAGTGCAATAGAAAAAATGGTCCACAATCTCTCTCATGATGAAATGTAGGTGCTCAATAAGATTTAGGAACCTCCCAAGTTACTGGATGTTTCAATTTTACTATCAATCCAGAACCACGTAGAGGCCCATCATGTATTGGAAATCTCATCTTTTTTTACATAGTAAAGTATAGCAAGCCTATGGCCCCAACTTTCCCTTAACCCGTCCCATGCCCGGGACCGGGTAAAGGGGCTGGGTTGTGTTAGGTAGGCAGCCAATGTAAAATTTTGTCAGAACTCATCATGAATCCTGAAATTAAAGTAGGCGGACCAGGCTTCGTGTAGCCAACCCCAATTAAATGGAAAAAAGCTATGATGATGATGATGATGTTGATGTTCTTTCTCTAGGATAAACTTTCCAATAAGATTCACCAACGTCCCTTGTCCAACAATGCCTAGTTGACAGACACCAACCTTTGACCCACCTTTCCTTAGTCATTGGGTTGCATGTTTCTTCCCAAATTATCTTTTGGACTGTTATGTACTCCCCCATCACAAAGGCAGTTTTCTGGATACAAGACAACTTAGATATCATTTGGTTCAAGTTTTCAAAAACCAAGTATGAAAATGTATCATATATGGATGCTGGGATAATCACTCTAATGAGAGTCACCCTACCTGCTTGAGACAAATGCCTGCACTTTGTTCATGAAAATTTATGAAAGTCCTGGCAACACGCCCACCAGCCACCAAATCAGAGTTAGAAGGTGTGTCAATCTTATAATTGAGAGCCCAGTCACTATTGAAATACTCCAACTTTCGTTTTCATTCCCAAGCATGAATATCCTCTACTTGACCAACTGTCTTATGACTGAAAATTGGGACAAAAATTAATGAAGAAAAGTTAATGCTCAAGGAAAAGAAAGAAGAAAAAAATGAAAGCCTCATGTTACGGCCAGTCTATTAAAATGCCAGGTGAAGCCTAGGCTGCCTAGGGAGGGATGGAATGAGTACCACACAATTGGGTGCAAGAGCATTGCTCATGGCATGGACTGGGTACGACAAGATTGGTCGGACTGTAGAGAGGGGGGGGGGGGGGAGAGGGGACTGGGTATTACACGATTGGTCGAATTGGGTTCCAGTACCTAATTTGAATTGCATATTTGCCATGTTATTTGGGTCCAAATACTGCCATCCAAATGCATCTGCATGCAGGGCTTTTAGTGCACAGGAGAAGACATTGCCCAGTACCACTAGATTAGCATCATGTCAACTGGTCAACTACTCAACGCAGTATTAGCTGTGGTTTTTATATCGCATTATCCCTTGTCAAAGCATACCCTTACTAGTTCATTATGTACTTCTGCATATAATCAGATACAAATTTGTTCCCGTGGTCCCTTAGTTGTTGCCCTAATTTTTGAAAGATGTGAGTTATTAATTAATGGTACTCCAGGATTTTATTTCCTTATGTTGGGATTGGGTACTTTTGACACAAAATGCAATTTTCTACATTTCATTGGATTATACTATACTCTATTATATTTCCTTCCTATTATGGATTGTTCTTTTGCTTGTAAACGAAAATGCTATCAGTAACGGTCTAGGGTCATAGAATGTTGTTCCCAGTCCATATTTTTTACTTTATGCTGATTGAAAATCGTACATTTGCAGTTTAAGTTATCCTCAGGTTGTTCCTGCTTGTCAGCACTTTTCTGGTGCCTGCTAGTTAGATTGCTTATTTGACATCAACTCACGTCTATACTTGGCTTGAACTGTTATCCTGTACCAGTCTAGTGAAGTTTCAATAAAATTAGGAACCTTGGCCAGAGATATATGTGCAGAACTTGAAACTAGTTCTTGTGCCATATGAACCTTGGTCAGAGATATATGTGCAGAACTTGAAACTAGTTCTTGTGCCATATGAACCTTGGTCAGAGATATATGTGCAGAACTTGAAACTAGTTCTTGTGCCAAATACTTTTCTGAGACATAAATTTTGACCAGTTAGGTAAATTTGGTTTTACCAATCCTTTTGGTGCAAATAGTTTTCAATGGGTTTCTCTTAGAGCCAATTCTTTAATCATGCAGGTCTTTATCTTGTTATCTGTCATACTTACAGCACTGTTTGAGGCCATTGCTCTGTTGCTGCTTAAAGGTATGCTGTGCTAATTAAACTTTGATAGATGTTCTTCTTTTTTTTTTTAAGTTTGGATATTGGTTTAACCGCTCATTTGGGTTTCTCATACGTGCGATATGCAGTTGTCAAACAAACATTACAGAATCAAAGAGTGCAATGAATACATTTGTTTCCTTTGCTATCATCATAGGATTCTAAACATGCCATAATGCGCAATTACTGACAATTTGAGCTCTCAATCTTAATTTTTAAAAAACATATTATACGAGTTACATGTCTATGTATGGTTCACAAACTGGCCATCCATAATTTGTTCTCATCAATGAATGGTGGAAAAAAGCAGTTGTTCCATTTTTAAGTCCATATTGTCCCATCAGTTGAACAGGTACATCTCCACCATCCATTGAAGAGGACCGATGGGGAATGGCTGATCTGCAGATCATATGTTAGAGAACAACATTTATACCATATAAGCCCTTTCTCATTTTGCGGAAATAGAAAACATGCTCCAATATCAAGCACGCCCATCATTGCAATGTGTTACATTCTGATTCTTGTGCTTTTTGTGCAGATCCCTCAGTAGGCATACTGGCACCTGGACCTTACGGTCTGATATTTGCTTCTTTCATCCCATTTTACTTTGATATTCCGGTTACAACAAGGTTCCGTATATTTGGTATTCACTTTTCAGACAAGTCCTTTATATATCTCGCAGGGCTTCAGGTAGAAGTTATCATACTAGCTTGTTATTTATTTTATATTGTTTTTCCTTTAATGGTTATTACCTTATAATTTTTTTATTTGGGGATTAAGCTTTCTTTGGTCAAGAAAATGATTTTATTTGAGTTTTATGCCCTTGTAGCTGCTTCTGTCATCCTGGAAGAGATCTCTCCTACCGGGCATATGTGGGGTTCTGGCTGGCATATCATATCGCCTCAATGTTTTTGGTATTCGCAGAATAAAGGTATTTAACTGAATTAGGTGGCTCCTTTTTACCCTGGAATTAAGCTAATGCAGTAATTGATACAGTTTAGCAGTAACTTCTTTTTATCATTAGGGTGTATATCTGGAAAATGATAAGCCAAGCATAATTCAATCAAATAGTGTAAGGTATGCAGTACTTCGAAAGAACATCCACTGTTCATTTATGAAGATGTAACTTTTTTTTATCATGAGGTTGCACATCTGGAAAATCATCATCATAGCCTTTTCCCAATTAATTGGGATCGGCCACACGAATCCTGATCCACGATTCTATTCTATTAAAGGTCATACCCTCAGTGAGGCCATGAGTCTCATATTTTTTCGGACTACTTCCAACCACGTCTTTTTGGGCCTACCCTTTGCCTTTTTCAGTCTTTCCACTTGAACTAACTCGCACATCCTGACAGATATTGTACTTGGTCGGTTCCAGACATGACCAACTCACCTAAGTCTACTCTCTCTCATCTTATCGCTTATTGGTGCCACACCTAAATTCTCCCGAATGGATTCATTTCAAATTCTATCCCTTCTTGTGTTGTTACTCATCCATCTCAATATCTTCATCTCCGCTACACTTATTTTATGGTTACATTATTTTTTGTCTGCCCATCTGGAAAATGATAAGCATAATTCAATCAAATGGTGTATGGTATGTAGTACTCCAAAAGAACATCCACTGTTCATTTATGAAGATGAATAATGGATATTAATTTTAACTCGTCAAATGTCGTGGTGGTCTCCACTATGGTTAATCTCCACTTTCCCTAGTAAGGAATGGATAGTGGAGGCCCCTTCAGAGCACCATGTACCATGTACCATATCCCGTTGGATTATGGTATACCTTCAAGGGAATTCACACTAATTTTCAAGATGTTGATTTACTAGTGAAAGGGCGTAATACTTGTGAAAATAGACCTGGCTTCAGAGTCCACGCATATTTCACTTGCTGAAGCACATGTGCGCATTGTATTTGTTTGGGTCTGTTTTGGATCACTTGAAATCCAAATAGGAGTGGAGAATATGTACACCAAGGTCAGTGTGGTTCTGTATGCAGAGGCCTGGGTCGGGTGGTATTTTTGTTGTACTTAATTAATTATGAGGTTCAATGGCTTCTGGATTGATCAAAAGATGATTAATGACTATAGAATGAGTGAGAATTAACTGAACTTAATACCTTATTATAAGTTCACTGTGGCCTACATATGGTACGTAGTCAATTTAAAAAACCTTCCCCAATGGTTTCAGTTTGATATGAAACTTTATAGGTGACTGAAAGTAGTGGCAGTGTAGAATTCTAGGCCATAAATTCAAAAATTTATTCATTTGTTTTATTAATTGCTGGAAATTCTACTTACAAGTGCCACAATTACAATAAAATAGGCCTACTACAATTTAGGTTCTTAATAACTTCATCATCAATCGTCATCTTAATAACTTACTGGCAAAAATAAACTTTATTCAAGATGAATAAAACTTAACAACTTTAGGAAAAGAATAAGCAAGAACAACAATAAATAAAATTAAAATAAATATGGGAAGATTTACTGACTTTTGTCTAGGGTTACCCCCTAGGGCTTAGCGTACCCCTCATTCGATCACCTGACCAATGGTGCACTTGATCCTAAAACCTGTTGAATCTACCAATCTGAAACTGAGAAGCACCTCTTTAGCTCCCTTTTTGAAACTTATGGGGCCAGAGAACTAGGGTCACAATTTGGGTTTCACTAAGAACCCTTTCTCTACCTTGGGGCATGCCACAATTGACACCTCCCCAATTTTAAGGCTTGGGCCCCTCCTTGTCTCTCTCTTTGAGGTGCATGCTACCCCTCCACTTATAAGGGGCTGCGTGCCACCTTTTAGAGAGAGAGGAGAGAGGAGCTAGAGAGAAGAGATGAGACAGAGTGGCGTGAAAAGGAGAGATGAAGAGAAGAGAGATCTGTGTATTAAAATAAGGGGGACCCCCTCGATTTATAGGCCTCTAGGGCAAAGAGTCCCAGTCAGATTAGGAGTTCAACATTATCTAGGATTTTATTTAGTGAGATCATCCATCATGATGTAGAGTGAATATGTAGGAACCTTATCCCTTGAGATTTGGCCATATCTACTTCTAATCCATCTAGAATTTTGACTAGTCAAAACTTATCCTCTAGAATAATCTAGGATAATCTAGAAACCCTATTTTCTTACAAAGCGATAATTAGAATTTCAAATTATTCAAACTTGGTCAAAGATAGCTGGATAACAAGAAAATCACTAAGTCCATTGTTGTTGGCTGCGGGTGCATTCCCAAGAGCAGGAGCTAGTTCGAGTCCGCAAAACCGTGGATTGCTGGAAGCTCGTTGTCCGTACGGTCTTATATCAAGGGAGCAGAATCCTTGTTATAGGGAAGCGTGATTCCATGAGGACGGAATCACAACAATAAGTTTTAAGGGATCGCAAATGATGTGTGGATTTATAGTACCATCCGGCACAAACTTGAATAAGTGCATATGAATCAGTGCCGAATAGAGAAAACATCATATGCATTGAATTATACACTTGAGAACTGCGGTTCAAACCTGCTGGGAATTAGGATCACAATATAGGGATCCACATTCCATCCAATATCACTAGCTGGAATCGTGGGATCAAGGTTCCGGAGTAGGTCCGTGACCTTTCCTACAAGGTTCCAGCAACTATGAAATAATCTTTAAAGAATATTTTCCAACCAAAATAATTTCTTAGAAAATATTCCTCAAAATATTTTACTAAAAAAATGCGTGTCACATAAAAGAGGGTGTCCCAATTAATGGGACATGTGGTCCCTAGTGGGCCCCATGTAATGCCCTCTAGTGGGGGCAACACATGTGGGCTGGGCCCTTAGCCCCTCAATGTGGGTCCCACTAAAATTTATAGATTTTCCAGAATGCCCATGTAATTTTAAAAATTCTAGAAATACGCTTTTAGGGTTTTTATACATTTAAAATTCGTTTTTAGAATTCTAAAAAATTCCTAAAATTCACAGTAACACATTTTTAGTTGAAAACAATATTTTTAGAGTTTTTCGTAAAAATCTAAAATACGTAGAAATACAATTTAAAAATGGATAGATACCTAATGGGTCAAAAAACAAGTGAATATCAAGGCACTATACCCGTGTCAGGATCCACGGTAACTACTGCCTTCTCAAACTATCCCAACGGGATCCATGACTCGCAGTCAAGTGCAAGGGCTCATGATTGACTCATTATATTAGCTAATAAACAATGGAACCATAGTCTCAGTATGTGGATTACCATAGTCTCAATATGTGGATTATAGGTTCTCCCCTTACGAGCAAGTCAAATGCACACATAATGCAAATGGGCACTCTCTCTATGCACATGTACACGTGTCCCTCTATACAAAGTTGCTTTCTAAAATACGGTTGTCATATGTACATGTCGTGCGAAAGTTTTGTTGATGATTTAGCCTCACTCTCCTGGGCCATTCCTCTACACATGAGAGACCATATTGCTCTCCTAGCTTACAAACGGCATCTTTGGGCATCTCTCCAACCTCAACAAAGGTTGACCCACAATAAACCCTTATCGGTAGTTCTTCATGCTCAGGGCAAGGGTTTTGGAATGACCTAGGCCACTACCATAGTACACTCCCACTGAAGTGCACACAAGCTCTCTAGGCCTTTAAAGGCCACAAATCCTAATAGGAATGTGTGAGAAGCCATCTATCCAAATTTCATGTGATTTGGACATCAAAAAGCGGATTAAATAAAATTTAGTGTGGTCAGTTAACAGCATAAAAAAAAACAAAATTTAGTGTGGTCCTCGTTCTCGCAATATATACCAGATTGTGGTTTGACTTTAAAAGGTTAATTGATCTTAGGTTAATTTGAAGCTTTAAGAATCGGTGCAAACATGCATCATGACCTTGTATGCCAAATTTCGTCTGATTTAAAGATCATAAAGTGGATCTAGGGAAGTTCAGTGCGGCTTTGTCTGCTTGAGCCTACAGGGTGGTATTCATTTGATGGCCTCCTTGGACAAGGACTAAATGATTTCGAGGATCTTTAGACTTCCCAATGCTTTAAAATCTTTGGAATTGAGGTTAAGTTCTAGATAAGGGTGAGCATGACTGAAACTTATCACTTTGGGAAGTAATGATTTCTGATAACTTTCGGATCCACATGTGTTGTGATCAAAGAAATGTGTGAGAATGTGATAAGGATCAACCTGCACTGTTGTAAGAAGCCCTATCTTAATGAAATCGGAGAGAACCTTCATAAACCAAGGATTATTTGCTATACGTAGCAAACATCATTGTGGAAGATCGAAAAGTCTCATTTCAGGAGCACTGAACCTTCCATATTTGAGTGATTTTATGATTGAATTGCAAGGTTTTAAAGAGTTGACACTATACCATGATGGATTTGCAAGGATTTCAAATATTCGAGTTTCTTCCATAATTATCCATATAAATTGGTTAGGTTTATTCCTTATTGGATACCCAATCAATTTATAAAGATATTAGGTCATAAAAATTTCATGTTTTGGAGTGATTTGAGGATGAAGATTGCGTGCTCTTCGGATATTTCTGCCACACGGTAGTGAACTCGAGGCTTTCAATCTGAAAATTCAGGGTTGTTGCCATGGGATAAACATCAAGATGATATATCTTTATCCTTTGGGAACCTAAGCTGCTAATATTAGCATTGTTAGATCTTATTTTGAACTATTTACAAAAGTATTGTGGTACCTATTTACAAAAACATAGGAGAAATTCAGAATTATGCGAACTATCGAGAGATCAAACATATGGGCCACACTATGAAGCTCTGTGAGAGAGTGAGTGAGCAATGACTTAAGGCATGAAACGAGTGTATCAAAAAACCCATTCGGTTTTATGCCAGGGAGTTCAACAATTGAGGCTATTTTCCTTTAGGCAACTGATTGAGAAGTTTAGGGCGAAGGGAATAGACCTCCACATGGTCTTTATTAATCT